AATGCAAAAATCGAGAGATTTCCTTAAGTTAGAAAACCCCTCACAATCTAATGTCTTGGTGAATATATCGGCTAAATGATTCTCGGTCCCTATGTACTCAATGCAAAATATATATTTCTCAACCAAATCCCGTATAAAGTGATGTCTTATATCTATGTGTTTTGTGCAAGAATGTTGAACCGGATTTTTTGAAATATCAATCGCACTCTTGCTATCACAACATACGGTCATGAAACCACTATGTCGACAATAACTCTCAATCATTTGATTCATCCGTAAAAGTCGACACCAAGAAAAATTTGATTTCATATCATGCAAAGACACCATATTATTCACAAGAATTTTCTCAAAAAGATTATCATTAACATTATTGAAAACATCACATAACTTTCTTACCATTAAATGAAACAAACTACCATTTGTTACCTCACCAACGGATTGCAACAAATGAAGAGATATTCGAACGACTCGGGGATCAGTAACATTCACATCAGATTGTGTCTCAGCTTCGAGAATGATATTCTGCTCGTCGGAGATACGTATCGCCTCAGGTGCTGTGTCTGGTGTCGTGTCAGGTGTCATGACATCTGGGGCGACACCTGGGACGACACCTGGAGCAGCACTACATATTGGAAGGTCCATCAAGTCCCGAACGTCATCTTCATCATTTTTGACCCGATAACAATTTTGGGTAGTTCGTACACCTGCCAAAATACATGAATTAGACTCATCAAAAACTTCACAAGACTTACTATCAAATTTAACATGGAGATTATCATCACAAAGTTGGCTTATGCTAATCAAGTTAGCCTTAAGTCCATCAACCAACAACACGTTCTGGAGCTTTGGGAGGCCTTCAACATTGAGCGTTCCACGTTCGATAATGTTTCCATGTTCACCTCCCCCGTATGTAACACGCCCACCTTCATAAAGTTCTACATTAGACAAGAACTCACGAGTGCCAGTCATGTGTCGCGAACACCCGCTATCAAAGTACCACGAACCTGCAATATTAGACTTCAAAGAGGTATGAATAACATTGCATTTCAACTCAGATTTTGGTACCCAAACAAATTTTTCTTTAGTCCTAGTTTTATGGTTTTTGGGCATATTACGAGATATGGGAGGCACCATTGGTTCAAAAGACCTATCAAATGAATGCAATTTATAACAATAAGGTCTAATGTGCCCGGGTGCATGACAATAATGGCAAACATACCGACGCCTTCGTTGTTTAGTATTCTTAAAACCCTTAGGCGTGGATTTTGAGGACTCACCTGTTTCCTCCGATGGACGAACAAATATAGTAGGCTTAAAACCAAGTCCCGCTTTCTTATGATTATGTTCAAGAGCAGCTAGGACCTCCAATTGGCTCTTACCGGTGTTAAGTCGTTGGAAGGTCTGACGGGAGTATTCAAGTTCCTCTCTTACCTTCACCAACTTTTGGTCATGGCCAGAGATGGTCACCTCCAATTGGGTTATAGTGGACTTCAAAGCATCGTTCTCCTCTTCCAACTTTTTAGCCTCAGACTTCATCCTCTTATTTTTGTCCTTTATCTTATTGTTCTCCTTCTCGAGCCTATCCGCATCCCAGACAGCATCTATATAGCGTTTATGAAGTTCCACGTACACCTCTTCATGATCTTCAAACCTAACATATTGAAGGCTGCTCGGAGGACCTAAATCCCTGCCTGAAGCATCACAAAACAAGGAGGTAAAGCAAAAAAATTTAGAATTTTCATTATCATACCTGCCAGGTGTCATGACACTTCGGGCGACACCTCGGCCGACACCTGCTGGTTCGATTTTTCTTGGCCTTGATTCGTCCATGGTTATCATAAAATCAGTTCCAGAGGCAGTTTCAGGTTCGTACTCAACCGAGGATTCCTCCAATGCATCAGATTCGTCATATTTCATCTTTTCGTTGGACGACTTTGGCCGATTCGGAACAAGTGTGGGTAACGGCAACCCCGTAAACTCCATATGTACCTAAAAAATCAGAATCACACTTATTAAATTAAGTGACCCGCTCTGATGCCACTTGTTAGAATTATAGGTACGTAAAGATTCAGTTTTTCACACAAATATCAGAAATTAAAATACGCAGCGGAAAATAAATAAACACGAATGATTAAAAATTTAGCCTACAAGTTAAAATACTTGTAGACTAAGGCAACATGCCAAAATTTCACTAGAACAAATTAATTACAATGTTTTTTCATCCAATCCAAAAAACATCTAGTGAACTATGAAAAACACAAAACACGAGTTCGACAATTATAAGCACTATATCATATTATATCAAAAGAAAAGATAAAAGATTCAAAGCCGAATTGTCCCCCGTTGTATCTCTGGAAATCCAAGCAGGCTTCAACTTGTTGCTTTCTCTCAGTAAAAGAAAACGCAGCACTCTTGGACCATCAACACACTACTTGATTCCTCCAATATTAAGTCTCCAGAAAACCGTGCTGCTCTCTCCCTGATTTTTTACAAATCAAGCTGCTCTCCAAATATATAATGCTTGTGCAAAACCAAATCAATTCCCCCAGCTCCAATAGAAAAATAGTGCTGCTGCCCTTTTTTTCTTATCCGTCCAATATCTCAAAATCCTATAAAATCTCTTTTTATTCTCCTTTCCTTCTAAAACTCCTAAAAGATAAGGAATAGTATTTAACACAATAAATTATAGTAAAATAAATAAACTAATATATATATGAATGTTCAGAAAAACAAAATAAATGATAAAATAAAAATACGTAAAAAAACGTTTTAACAGAACACAAAAATAAAAACTATGGCGAACATAACCCATCCCACGAAATTTAAGAAACGCACCCCTAAAAGGAAATTCATCATAAATACACACGGAAAAAGACCCATTATTATGGTAAGCGACACCCACAAATGCACTTATTAGAGCACCCACAATGCTTTGGGTCTCTTAGAAAAAAGTTACATGCCATGTAAGAAATAGACCTAGTCTATAAAAAAGTGTTCTCCAATGCAATTAAATGTAGACCTAGTCTAGCTTATGTGGCAATAAAAAAATGAGACCTAGTCTACACTTGGGTCTATTTTAGACCCAAGTACAAACCCAAGCACTCATCATTTATTCCTCATTTAGTTTTTCTTTTAATAAATGAAATATATTAGAGCATTTTTATTGGTTGTCATGTATTCTAGACCTAGTAATTTTTTGTTTTGCATTGGATAGATTTTGAATTTTTTAGTTTGGGTTTGTCCATGTCATTATGGACTTAAGTCTATTTATTTGCCACATATGCAAAAAGAGACCCAAAGCATTGTGGATGCTCTTATAGAAAACGGTAAATAATTACTGTAAAAGACAGCAAATTATGCGCTTACAGATTACAGTGTGAAACTGGAAAATCCAACGCTGCCGTATAATGCAGAACCAGAAATCAATACCTTTTGCTTTTTTTCTTCCCTGTTTTCGAGAAAGTTCTGTTTTTTTCCTACCAATTCTTCTAATTTTCAAATTCCACTCGGACCCACCGTCCCAATTTCAAAATCTTTTTAAAAAACAAGATATGGGTGTTTTTAAGCTAAAACCCACAGATTGTTTTTGACAGAATCAAAATGACCCTCAAGACTTTTTTTTTTTCATTGGGGCAGAAAAGAAGACGTTGATACAAAGGTGAGAGACAGAAAGAAGAGAGCGATTTTAATGGTGTGTTGGGATTAAGGTTATTTATCACTCTTATTCTTATAAGAAAAAATGTATGCCCTTATAAGTTTGCCACGTGGCCTATTAATGGGACGACACATGGCAGTTTTTTTTCTTTTTCCAGCCCAAAGAGGAGCAAACCACGTCGGTTTTGTATTCTTAATTGTTCAGAAAAAAAAATGGTCACAATTCTATGCGAGCAGTTTCTCTCAATCAATTGTCTTCTTGCAATCAAGCCCTACCCTTGTCTCCGCCCTTAAACTTTCTTGGCAAACAACTCCTCGAAGCCTGTTCACAGATCAGGAACCTATGCCTGGAGGCGTTAATTGAGGCATCTGAGATCCGAACGCGGCCGAAGATTGTTGTCGAGGATTATGAAAGGCGTGCGAAGAAAGCCATTACCTATGAATCGGTCAGAAGACGTCCAATCGCCATAGGTGCGGCCGAAGAAAAAATATGGTGGCTCGATTAAATTGTGTCCGAGAAGACCGGTAGATGCAATTGACAAAGCTGCTAAAGAGCTTGTTTGGGAGTAAGTTTGTCAGTTTCAATCATAACCAGGATTTGTTACAATCAGATTCCGTGTGCTTGTCAGTTTCAATCATATTCCGAATTAGCTGATAAAATAACTATATTCTGTGTGTTTCTTGATCTATTTGTACAGATTATCATTGGTATGTGTTGGAATTTGCTTACTTATTTTGATTATCGAGAGGAAAAGCTATGAGAAATAGTTCATTTAGGTTGTTACTGCATCCGTCTAGGGTTTATTGAAGGGGCTGAATTAGTGGAAAATTCTGGATAGTTGAAATTAGAAATATGAGGATGTTCCCTTAGTAGTGTTTATGTAGTTTGGATTGGTGTGTTCTTGGAATGTAGAGCTGTAAGAGTTTTAATTTGTCACCATTATTTTAAAAAAAAAATCTCTTAGCAGTGAAAGGAACTAAATATACCTAGCACATGTCTACAGGTAATAATTCATATGCTAAAACCTAAGCAATCTCGTTGTATACTGTAATAATCAATGAAGTGGAAGATTGTATGATGACGGATGTAGTATTCCTCCTCTGTAGAGGAAAAAAAAAAAACTTCTTACCTGGTATAGATTTGGTTAATGTTGTAAACTTTTGACAGGCTCGGGAAGTAGAAGAGAAAGTAGACTGGGATTTTGGGGAGGATTTATGAATCCATTCAAAGAACATTTAGTTAGAAATAATGAACCGGGTGCTGATCGGGACCTTCAAGCACAATCATCCAGATTGTCACAATTAACATTGATTAAACCAGCCACTGTCATAAGAGTAGTAAATTGGTTTTTAGTCATCCTATTTGTTGCATTGTCTTATTGGTTCTGGATACTGGTTTTGTACAGCAGTCTGTGAGGTAGGCCTACTATGAAGCATGTATTTGTAATTGTATTTTCTCACATTAGAGATTATGTCCTCTATTTTCCTGAAAATGGATGGTACACATCTGAATGTAGTAAGAAGTTGCATTACGACAGCAAAGATCTGAAGAGATGAATCTGCAGTAAAGCAGACATGCAAATGATTTGTTTGCTTATACAATGTTTGAAACATGTCCGAAATCCCACAAATTTTAGGAAATACCAAATATGGAACCAGACAGGCACTTTTTGAACACCGAATGAATTGAATTGTCTACACCCTTCATTCTGCAATGGCATTTATACACTCAATATGACAAAACTATTAATAAAAAAGTACTAAAAATAACTCAGAAACCCAAAATGTCGAAGTTCTTAATACATTACTCCCATGTAGCTGATAAATTATCATGAAATACACCAGTCATCTTAAACACCGGTAGCTTTTACAAATGGACTGGCATTGTTTTGTCTGAATGTTGGTTGCTCTCTTTAAGTTGTTGTAGTTTTAAACCTTTAGTGTTATGATTAATTTGCGTTTTTTTTTGGGCGGTGTCTAATCGTCTGGTTATTTTACAGCTTTTGATGGAGGGAGACTGTGCCTCTGGATTGCAGGCTATTGTTGTCTCTAAAAAGCGGCTGCGGGAGGTTGCCTTCGGGAGGTGGCAGTTTAAAAAAGCAAGGGCTCGATCAATGTTGGGTTCAGGTTGTACTGCACCTATCGGGTCTGTGAGAAAGAGGCGCGTGCCTCGCCGTGTGATGGTGGCGTGGCAGTATTGCAGTTGGGGCTTGTGGATAGCTCTGCTGCTACCGTGCAAGGCTCAGGCTATCGCGGTTTGTCGGCGTCTCTTTTGGATGGAAGTCAGGTTTTGTTTTCCTTGCTTTTAAACTTTG